AGAGAGAGAGAGAGAGAGAGAGAGAGAGAGAGAGAGAGAGAGAGAGAGAGAGAGAGAGAGAGAGAGAGAGGCAGGGAGAGAATGAAGGAGGCTGAAGGCTTCAGACTTGGAATTGGAATTGCTGGTAATCATCATGACGAGGAAATTTTTTTGAAAGCGGGCAGCGAGCCATGACGCTGGTCGTGTCCAGAGGAGAGAGGAGAGACTTGCCCGAGGAGGAGTGGGAGTGGGAGTGGCATAGGACCAGAATTGAGGAGCTTGTGGGGGGGGGAGGTTGACCTGTCCTCCTCTCTGTGTGTTTGACGGGAAGGGAACTGAGACTGTATGACAGTGTATGTGTTTCGTCATTTGAATGAAGTATGGCGCATTTGAATCCTTTTCAACAGATGCGTTGCACTACGGTTGTTTTCGTGAAACCGGATTTTTTTTATTTTTATTTTTTTTGTAATCTGAAACCGGATTTGGAGAGGGAAAAAAAAAAAAAAAAAAAAAGGATTGTGTGGGCCATATTGGCGCGCACAACCTTAGATAACAGAGTTTAATAGTGAAACCAGACTTTGTCCAGATCTATCCCCCCTTCTCATGTCAAAGAATTGCCATGGTAATTGACCAGGATAGGGTGAGGGTCCTAGGGTTGTTTTGGGCAGTCAATCCCCTCGCAGGAGGGTAATCAATGCTGCTCATACAGTAAATTGCCCGTGCCTCTACAAAGGTTCAATCATTCGACTTATAATGTTTAGGGACGCTGGACCCCCTTTCCAGCAGGTGCTGCTCCCCACCAATAGATGGAGCCCTCCTGAGACTGCTAGTGGTGCCTGCTCTTATCAGCGCCCCTAGCATCATCCCAGGTTGTTCGGGGGAAAAAAAAGAAAAAAAGAAAGCTGCGCCCATTGTCTCTCTCTTTCTTTTTTTTTTTTCTTTTTTTTTTTCTTTTTTTTTTTTGGGACAAACTCCACCACTAGATCAAGAATCATGGTCGCAGGCGCCCAATGCGAGGTCCTTCCTACTGATATCTGAGGTCCAATATGGGCGTCGTTCGACACTCCTCGGGGATCCTCGGGCTCCGAGGATGAATCCTCGGAAAAGTTTAGGTTTTTTGTCGTCTTCATTCCACTCATCCTCGCAGCATCGGTTTTAGGACTCATCCTCGGAGCAATGTCAGAAAAATAAAAGGGAAAAAGGCTTTCAGCCAATAGGGTGCCGCCACGATCAGAATTCTCGGTTGTATCGTCTCTCTACGTGCATGCCCTCTCCTCTCCGTGAAACACGGATCCTTGGGCCCCAAAGGACCTCGCGAGGTCCTTTGGAGCCGAGGACGATTTGGCTGGGAAATCCTCGGAGCCCAATGATTTGTCGTCGGAGTGTTTTCACATTTTCATTTCCAATTTCATCTCCGAGGACAGGTGGAACGGCAACGGAATCCTCGGAATCGCGTCCCCGAGGAGTGTCGAACGACGCCTATGTCAGGGTTCGGCACAACAGTTTTTTTTTTTTTTTTTTTTGAGGATCACTGTAGCAGGGGCTAGAACCCACTACCGCCGTTTTACCACATGGGGCCGGCGATTTTGATCGTGTGTGGCCGTCTATGACACACACAGCCCGTCGAGCTTCTTGGATGTCAATGGACAACATCATTTTGAACGGGGGGTGTGTTCGACCACCACGGCCCACTTGATTATGAGCGGGATCCCTTAAACCGCCACTTCCTTTCCCAATACCAGCCGTGGACCCTGCACGCCAAAAGGAATCTGGATGCATCTGGCCAGGGTGCAAGGCCGTTTACGCCCTCCACGTTAACAGGCGCAGCACTATTTTTTGGGCGGGGAAAGGTACTGGCGGTTTCAGAGGTTGGCCTTCCGTCCAATCGGTGGCGAGGAAAACAAAAGGTTTTTCTATATGCTTGGTCCCCTGCCAGTGGCGTGAAGTTGCAATTTTAATCATTTCAAAGGGGAGATGGAGAGGGGNTGTTTTCGCAACTTCGGGTCATTGCTTGGGGGGGGGGGGGGGGGGAAGGGGGGTGTTTTCGCAACTTCGGGTCATTGCTTTTCCCCTCTGAAAATGCAGGAAAAAAAAAAAACATTCCATGAATAACGGGTGCACAGCCTGTACCCCCCCCCTCCTCCTTGCCAGGGTACAAAAAATTGTCTTCTTTTTTTTCGTGTGATCAAGTTGTCATTTTTAAACCAAAAAACAGTTTTTTACTCCTCCAACAAAAAAATGAGAAAAAAAAGGTGTCGCACATGGTTTTAAACGACGCTAGTGGGTCCTTGCCCCAGGAGCCCAACGCGAGGCCATTGCTACTGATGCCTGAGGTCCGACA